TAGAGCTTCTTGTTCTAATCAAAATTCAGCACCGGTCTCAGAGAGCTACGTGTGGGATGCCCACGTGCCTTTGTAACTGCAATGAAATGTCCTTGAGAGATTTTTTTCTACTTTTCCTTTAACAATTAAAATACGTAGTTTTATTGAGTTTACTTTATCTTAAAGGTAGCATTTTACTGAGATACATTTTTATTTTTCCTTCGGTCTGTGCGAACTACTTAGTGGACATGCAGAGAAATGTTATTATGCTACTTGATGAAGACGTCTCTAGCTGCTTAAAGTTTTAAAAATAGTATTTTAAAATACATGATATGTATTGTTATCAATATCACAAACACTAAAACATGTAGAAAAGTTGCTGGATTTAAAATATGTGCCCACTAAATTAGTGCAGATATTATAAAGAAACATTTCTCAGAATTTTAGAAGCAGTTTCTTTTACATATACAAATAAAATTGAAGTACATATATAATAAATGACCAGAAAGCGTAAAAATAGAATGCAAGTTTTAAATCACCAGTTCTGATAAGAAAATTATATTTAAAAATCAGTTTTTAAAAAATCAGTTGAACAAATAAAATATATAGTTATAATCAATAGATATAGTTAAAATGATCATATTGCTACTGAAGAAAAAAATGAAAGAAAATACTTAATATTTTGTGTGATATGAATTTTCTCTCATAGTTATATTAAAGGTGAAAATTTAGACATGGCTGTTTGTTAAGCAAATTTTTACTAAAAGTTTTGAAAAGTAGGAAAATTAAACAACATTTTGTTTTGTTCAGACTTTAAAAAGAGCATTTGTATTTTACCTACTCACTGTTTAAGGTAAATGGTGAAAACAAAGATATTCAAAAAGAATAGCACTAAGGCCCATTAAACAAAAGCTAGTATTTTGCAAATTCCTATATTCATAATTTGCTCGCCTCTAAGTTAATGTTTTAATATAACATCAAAAATAAGGAAAATTATCAATAAAAGTACTTTCTCATTGCGTATAATTTGAAATGTTTGAAAAGTTTAAGTTACATTCCTGTTCAAGTACTGGATTCATTTACTAATCCTAAGTAAATATTTTTATATAAAGTATCTATCAGCCTTTGAAAACCCGTGTATAAAGAAAGTCAAAACTTGCTTTTCTCGCTTATCTCCAACCACAAAAAGTTATATGATTCTGCAATGCTACAAGTTTTTCACCAACAGCCTCCTTTTTTTCTTTTGTGATTTAAACACTTTAATATTGCCTATAACTAAAATTACTCAGATGCTTACTAAAGAAATCTAGAAACTGCCTCTTGTTTCATTAAAAGGCAACTCCCTTGAAACAGTAAACATTATAAATCACTTTTTTCACATTATCTAAAAGAAACTATATTCTCAGTGTACAATGATTTCTATCTGGTGACACAACAACCATAATATTAAAACATGTGAATCAGTGAGATCAAAAAGGAGAATTTCTGTGCCTACGAAAACCTCAAAGAGAAAAGAATGAAATGTGATTTTAGCTAAGTAGTGTTAACATTCATTGAAAACGACTCGATACACAAAGTCCAAGTACACCTTCCATACGTAGAGTGTGTGTAATGCCATTTTAATGACATTTTACAAAGCTGGCGAGGAAACCTGTATTTCTGAGCCTGACAAAAATACCTTTGCAAAGAAACAATTTGCAACATGATGATCCAAGTACTGCTTTTGGGGCACCTATCTGAGGGTTGGCAAAGGAGAATTTGGGGTGCTGGGTGTTTCCAAGGATCAGAAAGGTGATTCTTTAATTTCACCAGCTCTTCTTATGTCAATGGTAGAGTACTTAGGGGGAGTCAGTCTTTTTAAAAAAGATACACACACACACACACACACACACACACACACACACACACACACACACACACACATGTTTAAAGTCTGAGAGTTAAAATAGGAATTTGAAAAAGAAGTTGATGTAGAAAAGAAAGAAACCAGAGAAGTTAGAAAAGCAAGGGAAAGGAAGGCGAAGTAGCAAAGATGTGGAGGAAGAGGAAAGGGAAGGAAGGGAATAAAAGCTGGGAAAGGAAGAGAAATTAATTCCATTTAAGCCAAAATGGCATCATTTTGAAAGCTGCGTTATTTAGGCTGATAGAAATTTTAACCTGAAATAATAATTTTCCAGCCAATCCACGACTCTGGAAGGAATAGCCCAGGCCCTCCCCGGCCACCAGCAGCAGCGGCCACTAGATGGCAGGCGAGCACCGCCTGGGCTCGGCGGCCGCCGCCGCGCGGGGCGCTTGTTCCGCCGCTGCGCACGCAGAGCGCGGGGTCGCGCCGGGCACACGCGTGTTCTTTGCAAGAGCGAGCTCTGTGCGTCCTGTGACGCTCCTCAGGACCCGAAACGGGTATCCTGCCCTCCCTGTACACACACTGAAAATGTCGAGTTAGGTTTGGAAGAGGAAAAATGAGTGTGGTTATTTCCTGGGACTTCCTGAGAACTTTACCTTTCAGCTCTTGTGGGGATCGCGTGCTATTTGTTATGCAGCACCCCCTTCCTAGGTAGTGAGGGTGGGGAGGTCCCTGCAGCGTTCTGCTCCTGCTTCAGCAACTGCGCACAAAGTTTGCACGTTCTGTCATCTTTTCTCCCCCCCTCCCCAATTCTCTTTGTTTTTCTTCATCTGATAGTGAGGGGTTCCTCCTTAAGCACAGCACTATGGCAAGCTGGATTTTAAAACTGCTGCAAGCAAGAGAGGTTGCCCCATATAGGGTCCTCTGCCAGCAAAGCCCAAGGAAATATCTTTGTTCTTGCTCTTCAAATGCAATGCTTCCTCCCCACCCCTTTATGTAACACTTCTGGCTGATCAGTAGGCAACTGGTAATCTACCCCCCAAAACTTCCAGAGATCCTTTACGTTTGTATTTTCAGGTCCCGTTATATGCACAAAACCTCTCTCTTCCTGGACCCCAACAGGAGCAATTACCATCTCCCACCAGACAGTCTCTCTACCTGCCTGCACAAAATGTCCATTATAAAAGCTGTTTTGATCTTTTGGATAAGCGCCTTGATTTAAAATAATAGCACAAGGTAAAATTAGGCTTCTCTGCTCAGCAGTGCATGAATGACAAATCTGTTGTATTTGGAGTATATTTTTAAAGATTCCTTTTAAAGTCACTTATAGCAAATTTACATATGATCAAAAATGGTATCACACATTGGCAAACTGAAGCGCATAATTTAGTTCATGTGCTACTGATATAGCCATGTTTATACATATAATGGGTTTAACTGTTTTGATATACTATCATGCCAGTTCAAAATCTGAAGGAGCCCTAAAAGCATTTTCTCATCTTCACCCACCCTTGAAAAATTTGTATTTTTCCTTTTATAGTGTCTCAGAATAAGACAGCATTTTTCAAGTACTTTCTTAGCTTTGGTTTCCATAAATTTGTGAAAACCAGACATTTTATCAGGCCCTGCAGTTGAGACACTTAGTAAAATAAAGACTCAATAATGTAATCATAGGACTTTAAAATGCAAATATTAAAGAACTAAAGGACACCTTGGCAAAACCGACTTCACAGACAATGTTGTATCTTGTTTTCACCCTGTGTAGTTCTGGTATGTGAGAATATATATTAATTTGTCAAATTGACAGATAGGACAAGTTATATGAATTGTGTTTTAACTGATGGTAATTTTAGATCAAAATCTTCACTTTGAGAACCATCTAAGATTATTATACAAGTTGTTATAATACAGATACATAGGTAGATCTGGAAGTAGGAGCCCTGTGTGTGCACAGCTGATTCTGCCCATAGACATCCTGTATCATTGACAGTGACAGCTTAGCCAATTGATCATAGGACATATAAAACAAGACTGATGCTTTACTAATTTTAAAAATAAGTGATTCTGTAACACTCTAAAACAATTTCTTGAGTGTGATTTTAACTGGTTTAGAAAGGCCCCTGAGGTGCTTTTTGTTTTGTTTTTCCCTTGGATTCTAGCTATTTTATATCAGTGGAGCAGAAAGTCACTTCGTGCTTGAAAATTCACCCAGGACGAGGGAAAGGATACATAGATACAGATATAAAGATATCTACTCCGTGGAATAGAATTTCCTACTCAGCTGCTTGATCTCCTACAGAAAGATAATAGTTTATTCATGATTTTGAGAGACATTGTTTCTGTGATGGATTGTAATTATTTCAATGAAAAACTTTTTTACAACATATTTTTAAAAATTTGAACTCCCATGTGAATCAAGGACTAAACTATTCCATAAAATGGAAAACAGGGACAAATTCCAACTGTTCCTGGTGGACTTAGATACAATTGACTCAGACTAAAATTTCATTTCATTCATTTCTTATTTATATAGTTAAAGAGTTTGATAAAAGAACCAGAGACAAAAAGAAAATAATTGTAAATGTACTAGATCAAGCAGAAAAGTTCAAATCAAATTATAATTGAAGCCACATCAAACAGATGTAACTAGTAATAAAGTATTTTTTTGTCAATTAGTTTTCTTTAATATGTGTATTTATAAAATTTAAAGAGAAATCTACTGATCAGAATCTCACTTTAACAGCCAAATATTTGGCTTTGTTTTTTTCTGAGAGACTTCTGTTCTTTTATATTGATGGTCCTGGTTCACCAATTAATTGCATATAAATAATTTCACAATCTTTCAAATAATTGAATATCACAGTCACTTCTGTGACAATATAGCAAATAGTGACAATAAATAGCAATAAATACCCAAAAGTAAGCCCCTAAGTGTCTCAAACTTAGAAGTGTTTTTTTTACATGACTCTAGATTGTCATTGTAAATCTTTAAGAATTAAAGTGATGCCTAACAATACTCTGAAAATTGCTAATAAAATAAATACACTTCTTTGAAAAAAAAGCAACAAAATTACTCTTCGGTAGTTTAGCATATCACAAACTTAAATTATATTCTTAAATAAAAACCTCAAATTAGAACAAGTAAGGAAAAAATAAGATTTTTATGGACAGCCAGAAAATACACATAGGTCATAGGAAATAATATAGCACTCTAAGATGACTAAAATTTGTTTCTCTTTTAAAAAACATACAGAAGAAATGACAAAAATTCTATTATGATTTGGAGGAAGAATGCTACTTATTTGTTACTTCATTTGGTTTCTTTACTGGGATTTAAGCCAGCTCTGCTAAAACCCAAGAAATGTGTGAATATATAAAGTCTAGCTTTCTCAAATGCTCCCTCTAAGTGCCTTGCTCAGCAACTTGGCAGTCAGTGGCCAGGAGGAGGCCCCAAAGCCAAAGTGAGGGTCACCGTCTCTTTGTGGTCACAGTTTCATCAGCTTCCAAACCTACACTCCTGCTCCTGCCTTGAACTACAAAGGTCTGCATTTCCCTGCCCAGGCACTACAAAACCTAACAAATAAAGTTAAATGAGATGAAATATACCAAAACCAAATCCAGCATGTGAATCCAGTGAGTGTTGGACCCTGCTAATTGTTTACACCCAGGACGGGGAGTGTTTGCTGCTCCGGACTGGGGTTTCAGTGAACTGTTAAAAAAATCTGTAACCAATGAATTGGGAAGGAAGGAGATAGAGAGGGAAAGACAGAGTCAGAGACAGAGGAAGAAAGGAGAGAGGGAAAAGAAGGAGAGGAAGAAAGGAAAAAAGGGAGTGAAGGAAGAAGGGAGGGAGGAAAGGATTCATCTCAACTGGAATCCAGGAACTTGAGCAGGAAATTCGCTTTGCGGGCCTAGCAGTGAGTGAGCAAAACACAGTTAGTCTGCTCGCATTTCTCCCTCTTTTGCTCTCATGATAGACACACACACACACGCACTCTTGCACACACACGCATGCACACGCACACCCACACACGGGCCTCTGGCCCACCCTGCATGTGTGTTGCTAATCTTAAGAAAAACCATTTGTACCTAGAGCTGGGAGTGGCAAAGAAAACCCAGCTGCTTTGCCAAGGCTATTTTCTCCCGTACAGTTTGTGGCAGTGCCACAGAGGAGTCCCCTGAAGAATAGGCTGTGCTTGTCCTGAAGAAGATGCATGCATGTAACCAGAACCAAAGCGCACCCTTGCTGCAGTTTGATAGAAACTTGGAATACATGGGTGCCGGTGTCCTGGGAGGGCAGGGCAGCCTGGAACAAAGAAACAAGATGTGAAAACGACTTGGATAGTGGCTCTCAGTGAATGCTGGCGGCCATGTAACTTTGGAGGCTTTTTTCAGTCTTCTTGGCTAAGCCTTCAGACTGTTAGCACTTCCTAAATGATCGCATGATACCTGTGTCTCCAAGAATGTAACCCACCAGTGTGAGGTTGGTGATCACGATGAGCAAAGCTGCCAGCGGCTTCATCAGGAATGCAAGGCTTAGGTAGAATTAGAATTCAAGGCACCAAAAGCCTCAACACCCAATTTAATCCTTTAACCACTAGGCCACACTCTCTTTGAGGCTCATTAATAGAAACAGCATTGCCCTTTTTGCACAGCTGTAGAAGCCCTATTGATCTGGATCACATAGCACTTAACACTGGATGATTTGGTCAGGAAAAGCAATGTTCACTGTTCCATGGCAAATCAGACAACAATGCTAAGACCTGCCATAGACCCGGGAAAATAGCACAGGAGACGAGGAAACAAACAACCACGAAGAACAAACCCCGTCTGCGTGTTTCACACCGCAAGGTTTTACACTCCCCGAGACAGCAAAGTAAGAGAGTAACTGTTTTAAAAGTAAAACTATTTCTGCCTGACACAGATGTGGATCACGGGAATGGAAACCTAATAAACCAACAGCTGAAGGCCACATTATTTCCCTATCCTCCTCCCCTCGCTCGTTTAGAAAATGACATGTTTTTCTTCACAATGTTTTCCCCCTCCTCTCTCTTTAGTGGCAGTAATGCTGAATGCTCTTGACATAATTCTTCGCTCACCCCTGACAGTCATTTTTTTGAATACTATCCCAGCAATAAAACACCTGACCTCGACTCTTTCAAATGGCCATTGGCTTGGGTTACCCCAATTAGCTAGACTCATTTGGAACCGTCCAGAGCAGTCAGGTGCTGAGGTCCCTGCTAAACTCAGCCTTGCGATTGAATACCTCGTTTTATTCAGGTCAATTTCTTTTTCTCGGGGATCTGTTTATTCCTCTGTGGTGGGAGCCCAGCAAAAATAGCGGGCTTAAACAATAATCTAAAAATATGTACAATTCTGATCCCAAATAGGAGTGCTTCAGAAGTCGTAGAAGGCAACATTTCCAGTTCTCTGAGCGTTCATTTCAATATTTCAGGGTAATTGAGGAAACTCTGCAGAAATGCTAACGAAGCCCTCATTTAATTGAATATGAAGTCTGCATAACGTAATGAAAATACATATGCAACTCTGTGAAGACACACATCTGTGATAGCTGTGCAAAGTTTGGGTCAACAAGATATTTTGGGGTTACAGATTGCCCATGTTAACAGCACACTCTTTATTTAAGAAAATAGCCTTTAGGTAGGAAAGAAAATATGTGCATCCAGGGCTCAAACCGTGCTTGTTACACATTTTTACATGGAAACAATTGTAGGATTACGTTTCAGAAATAAGTTGGAAGTTACTGTAAATAAAACTAGTCAAAATTTCGTAGAGAACTTTCAGGCAGGAATATGGATATGGACACTTCTGAAGTAAATGAGATATAAGAGAAATTAGGAGTATATTTAAATTATGCCCTCTAATTTTTAAAGTATTAAAAATTTAACAGTTTAAATTATTCTGAAATAAATTTCATCTTTATGTATCTGATATAGCAATCTGTTTGTTTATTTTACATTTAATATTTATCAATAGCTATAGGACTTTTCAAGAAGGGTATAATTTTCCTTACAGATCTTTTTAGAATTTGTGTGTGCTGTGCAATTTGATCAGTGCTCACATTTTGTTCTTTCTTTAAAAGAGTAAACTGTAAGATTTCTTGATAGATTAGAAATAAAATATTAAACCCACACAACTGAGGATGGATGTATAATACAAGCTGAAATGAGTGTTTCTTAAAAAGGACTACAAGGTTCCTTTTGACATGCAAGCAATGAACGTAAGGAGGGAAAGAGAAATTGAATTTAGCTGATGCAAATGAAATTAAAACTAAATTGGTTGTCACATCAAACTGATGTTAACTATGTAAATGTTTGCTGTTTATGAGACCATGGTTTAGAGTGTATAATGTAACAAAAAATAAAAATTTTTTCATGTTCATTTAAAATAGAAATTAAAAAGAGACCAGATTGTGAAATTATTTAAAATTGTTGCCACTCATCCATGTAATATTGAAAGGGCTATGAATCATGAAAACTGTGGGCATGGGGTGCCGAGGCAAACACACATGTCCACACACATGCGTGCTCTCCTGGGGAGGCAGTCAGTATTCCATTACATCATTGCTTCAGATGCATTCATTCTCTTCAATATTGTTGGCTGTTTCAGGTTAACTACCAAAATCATTTGCCTGAGAAGCGAGATTTAATTGTCTTACAACTACCTCTGCGAGGTACAATAGGGATTACAAGTACCCATTGATTATACTATTGGGCGGAATAAGGGACTCTTATTCTAGCATTTCTCATTCATTTTGTCATTGCATTCTCTTTGAAAGAGACCAAATGGGTCCCAGCAGGTGAAAGCAAAGAAACCTGAAAGGCCCCCTTTGATGAATGACAATACCACAACCACCCAAGCCCCCCTCATTTTTGGAGATTATAAAACCTTATTAAATCATGCCCTGTTAGATATTGATTGAGAGGAAGCCAAACTAAACCAACAATAGCAGCATGGATCAGAGAACACTGCTTTCATCAATGGGCCCTAAACACAGCTAAGCTTTCAATCCTTTTTTTTGCGGGGGGGACTTTTTTTTTTTTTTACTATTTACTTTTGTTTAAACCAGTATCCCAGAAAGTCATACAATTATAGCTGCTTTGTCAGTCATGAATAGATCGTAGTTGTCTAGCACTTCATCCTTTTGAATGTAGCAGTGTATTGCACAAACAATATTATACTTGGTTAAGATTGGGGATTATCATTATGATTATTTGGGGGGGTGCAATTCTGGGTAATTATCATAATTATTCTTGACTCTGGGACCCCTTTGATAACAAAGCTGCTTTAAGCCTCTTGGACATAACAACCCAAGATACTTGAAAGGAGACTGCTGCCAGCATCAGAGTTGAAAACTCACCCCTATTTTAAGGCTATCTTGATTATCGGGCTGTGTGCGTGCCTGGGCTCTTTTCTGCCATCTGTGAGCTCCGCAGCGAAGAACCCCTTCATGATAATCACTTCGGGGTGACTTGAACATGTCTGCTTGAGAGGAGGCTTCAGCAACGAGACTGTGCTAATTAACTGTCAGCCCTAAAAAAAAAAAAAAAAAAAAAAAAAATCACCAGACTGAATTTTAGAAAGATACTGTACCAAAAATTCCCAAACAAGAATTAAACTCTTTTGCCAGACTACAGCTTGTACTCCTGGTTTCTTCAGGCCTGAGTCTGAGTAAATCTGTTTACCTTAAGTATTTCTCATGTGATAAAGGTTCTCACTTTCCTTGCCAGTTCAGTTGACTCTAGGTAATAACATTTGCTCTTCCTCCCAGACAGCGATTTGATTCAATAATCTTAGCTCCCCAACCACCCCAAAAGAAAAGAAAACAAAAGGAAATAAAAGAAATGAAGGATGCAAAGGAGGAGAGAAAAAATATTCAGGTAACAAAGAACTTTTCATGAAAAAATTGGTAGTTCAAAAACTATTTAGGGCTGCAATTGAAAATACTCTCAGCTGAAAAACTCAAGACACTAAAACTATTAAACTGAGAATATGTTAATATTTATATTAAACTAATATAAAGGATGAATAATAGTCAATTCCTGAAAAGTAATTATTTGAAGAAACAGCATGATGTGCCACGAAAATGACACCTGAAAATATCTGCAGTAGCTGTAATTGCCTTAGAGGACTAGAGAAATAACAAAGAATTAAAAACAATTTAAATGTGGAATTTCTCTTGGTGAACTCTTCTATACTTGATGGATAAAAATAGTCATAACCCCTCGAAAACAGAGCATTAACAAGGATATCTTCTTGAAAGATGTAAACCAGGGATGAATGCAAAAGTTTTATTTGCTCATTAAAATGCATCTCTGAATCTTGATTGTCCAAAATGTGAACAGGAAATAAAATTTTTAGGTTGTATTTATTAATACAAAAACTAAAAATACCCTAAAAATAGTATCTGTTTAGACAACATTTTATTTTCTAATGTTGTATACTTAATTTTACTCAACTTCAAAAATTTTTTAAATTGCATTTATAATTAGATTTTATTATTTAATAACATAAAACTTGCTCAGATCTTTATCATACTGCTATCAGTATTTTTTACTCATGGAATTTCCTGAAATTGTTAGTTTGGACTTTGAAGTTAGGCATTATATTCTTTTAATGCTTTTAAACATTTCACATGAATAATATAATGTATGAATCACTCTTTTCTATTTGTATTTATACTTCTTCCTTATATAACAATCTAAGTGAAAATTTAAACATATAAAATCATGCCTAATACTTTTAAAATCAATATACTAAATCATTATCTTAAAACACTCTGAGCAAGTTATTTAATTGACCAAAAATGTTGTCAAGCCATGTGTTAGATGATAGTTTCCTTTGAAAGTGTTATGCATACATTTTTATAAATGTTGCAAACCAGTTAAACAATCTTCACATTTTCTTATGTAGGACACAGATAATTAAGTGACAAAATCTGTTGCTAATTTTCTTTTCACTGGATTTGAGGTTTTTCAAGTGTTTTTTCTTAATCTTCTTCTGATTAGTTAAGTTCCTTTGCTGATTTGTGTTTCCAAAGAAAATTTGAGAATTGTTTTCTCACGTATGGTAAGTTTTTAAGTCACTCAGCAGACTGCGATTTTAAAGTGTTTTTTTCTCTTAGGTAAGTACTAAAATATGAAATAACTATTTTTAAATTATAAGTGTGTATTTTTTAAACGTCTTTAAATTACATGTCCTATTTTCCACTTTCAAAATGTGTGGTAATTTCAATTCAAGATGACCTAGAAAATTATATTAAAACAATTCTATTTAATAGTAAAGCATTATAATAACTAAACTATTAATATTTTTGTTCATGCCTCCTGCGTATGTGAAAATAATGGTTAACAGTTAGGGTGCCCAAGCACTCATACTGTTAGGTATTTTTAGTTGCCCCTCCTAATAACTTTCTCTTCTGTCACATTTAAAGATTACAAACAAGTCAGAAATTATTTTGGTTTTGACATTAAAGTATAATGATAATTCCAGCTCCTACTACTTTCCTTAAAATTGAAATTTAATTCTGCTTTATCACTGTATCATGTGGCCTTTTATGATTACATAAAACGATCTCATAGTAATTTCTGTGATCAAAGAAAATTTTGTGTTTTTACATATTCGTAAGCAGCTGCTCCCAGTGCCCAAATTGTTACTTATTTAGTGACAGTACTATAAACAATACTGTGAAATGTTTTCAATCAATTTTAATAGAATATAGTGAAAGAGAAAAAATGCTACATATTTTACTTGACATTGTTGAAAATGCAAAAAGCAGCCTATTTCATAGAATTTTTCTCTGTGCCAATCACATAGTTCTTTTCCTTTTCCCTTAAATAACCAATTTATCAATGTGCCTTAGAAAAATAAAGATATTTTTGTCTTAAACCTTCTTAAGTCTTCCAAAACACCAAGCTGTAATGATATATACATAAAACATTATACCTTCCCTTAGAAAAACATTAACTTAAGAAGTCCCATGCTTCTGATATCCAAATAAAAACTGAATAATGTTTTTCAAATTGAATAATCATCAGAAAAATACGCTGAATGCTACTAGCATCAATAACAACAAATCAGTAACAACAAATAATTTCTGCTAGATTATGTATTTTTTTAACTCAGTGATATGTATCAAATTCATATTAAATGAGAATGACCAATTCTCATTTAAGTTTGAGTAACCTTGTTATTATGGCAGCTTTTAGTTAAGTGAAACAGATATTAGATTTTTAAAATTCATAGTAACATTTAATCATCTCTTTCCAGAGACATTTCTCTTATGTTAATTTTTCTCTGTGGTACATTCTTTGGAACCAAATTTGACAAAAATGTTGCAACTGTCATTTCTGAAACTGGTAAGTACCCAAAACAATGCTCTCTCTGTCACAAGCTTTTATTTTCTCTGAATTCCATCTTTTGAAAGATTTAAGAAAATTTGATTTCCCAAGGCACTATTTTTATAGTATGCTTCACCTAGAACTTCATAAAGTTTTAAGATTTGCTTGACTTTCTCTCTGGAGTCTCCACATGAAAATTCTTGCATGGACTTGGGTGTTATTGCTTAGGAGTCCCTGGAATGAAAATAAACCATTGGAACTATTCCATTTCATCAGACTACAGAAGAGATTTTATACCCAGCCACTGAAGGCTTCCTTTTGACCTGATAAGACTTTGTACTTCATCCTCAGTGGTAGTCACAAGTTAGATACATTAATTTTCTCCTTCAGCCTGTAGACATTGGGAAAATCTGCCACAGCAAGTCTGAAATGTCAAACCCTTTCTCAGAAGGAAAACTTGAGAAGGTAAATACCCTTCCATTCAGCTAGCACGTGGAAGTCCGAGGTCTCATTGATGAGTTTCATAAGCAAATCAATCAGCTTTTCCTCTGTCTTCTCTGGAAGCACTGACTGCAAAGCATGGAACATTTTGGCTTGCTTTTTACAGCAAATACCCTGAATGTTTACCATGTATTTCATTGAGGCCACTGCCTTCTCTTTTCTATATTGCCCAAGCTTTTCTTTTGCAGTTGCCCTCAGAGTGAATCTAACAGCTGCTAGAAAAGTACTACTCTTATTTAGTAGTCATATTTTATGTCAAATCCAAAGTCAGCATCTCCGTCCACCAGACTTAATGCCATGTTTCCCAACCTCAGGTCTTCCTTTATTGTACGAAGTTTTCTGTTATAAAAAGTAGTCAAGTGTAGACAAATGTCTTCTCAAGTCAGTTTATCGAAAGAAGATTCCAATATTGGTGTGAGCAGTGGTAATATAGTTGAAATGCGTAGGAAATACCTAGTGGGCTAGAAGCATTTGATTTTATAAGTGGTTGTATTAACCAAAATAACCTGCCACAAGCACTGTAGTCATGCCTTGACCAGCTGCCGGTCCTCCTGTACAAGACTGCAGGCTCTCTCAGCTCTGCATGGGACACAGGTTGTACTTTGTGATTCATGCTCACGCTGACTTTGGATCTAGGCCTGGTGGGTAACAAGTGCTCTTTGTTTAAGTTCATAACAGGAAAAATCTAAGATCGTCCTTAGCACACAGACTAATATTTAATATTCCCTACATAACACTGAATCACCATGTGAATTCTATTGTTAATTTAGATAACTTCAAATTAAAGAAGCACATTGTGTTCAAAAACAAAATGTAGAATACAATAAAATAAGCGATATTAATATGCTAGCATATAATTCAAGTTGAAAATTTTGTTTCACACTAGTCCTTAAGTATTTTCAAAAAGCTTGAAAACAATCCTCTCTGTGATCAATGACCTACATTTAAAATACCAAATTAAGATCAATTGCCAAGTTTAATGATTGTTTTAGGTATATTCTCTAAAGTTTAAATGACATGTTCCTTCTGCAGAATTATGGATGTGCAAAATCTTGAGTTTCTGATTGTCTTTTGTAATAAATTTCTCTATTATTAATAAAGACTATGTATTTATGAAATTATTTTCCCTTCTAAAAATTCTGCTATTATCAATTGCAGTTTATGACAATGAAATAGCTACTTGATTTCCTTGCTGTGGGATAATTCCTTGTCAGGTTTAGCAATGTAAGTGGGAGGGTGTAGAATCTCTGTGCATTTTCTAGTTTCCACTGAATTCAAATTTCTCTATTCTAATTTAGCAGTGATGTTTTCTTAGAACATTAAGTGAGCAAAATTTCATAACTTTCAGGCACAACTACTGTCTCCATCTCTGGAAGATGCCCAAAGTGAAATCAAACGTCCTGATCACGAACGCCTACGTTAGACACATGGGGGGAACTTCGTGACTTTCAGATGGATGACTGCTTTGTCTTTTGTGCTGCCAACTGACTTTTTCTCCTCGTGTATCATATTATGCTACTCTAAATTTTTAAGATCAGCTATAAATTCTCATTCATAATCACTGGTTTTCTCTGTCTGGAAAATTATTTTTCATTTTTGCTGATCTGAAGTGATTCTTTGAATTTATTCTTTTATTATCTGGTTAGTATATTGTGTTATGTGTGTATATCATGGCACAGAATTTAGAAATTA